AAAATAGATAAGCCTCTAGCCAGACTTATTAAGAGAAAAAGAGAATCAACACACATCAACAGAATCAGAAACGAGAAAGGAAAATTAATGACAGGCGCCCGCCAAAATACAAAGAATTATCAGAGAATACCATGAAAACCTATATACTAGCAAGCAGGAAAACCTACAAGAAAGGGACAACTTCCTAGAAAAATACAACTTTCTAAGACTGATCCAGAAAGAAACAGAAAATCTAAACAGACCAATAACCAGCAATGAAATTGAAGCGGTAATCCAAAAACTACCCAAGAACAAAACCCCCAGGCCAGAAGGATTTACCTCAGAATTTTATCAAACATACAGAGAACACATAATACCCATTCTCCTTAAAGCTTTCCAAAAAGAAGAAGAGGAGGGAATACTCCCAAACTCATTCTATGAAGCCAACATCACCCTAATACCAAAACCAGGCAAAGTCCCCACCAAAAAAGAAAGTTACAGACCAATATCCCTGATGAACGTAGATGCAAAAATACTTAACAAAATATTAGCAAACCAAATACATTAAAAGGATCATACAGCATGACCAAGCAGGATTTATCTCAGGGATGCAAGGTTGGTACAACATTCAAAAATCCATCAACATCATCCACCACATAAACAAAAAGACAGACAAAAGCCACATGATCATTCCATAGATGCTGAAAAAGCACACTAGAAAATTCAACATCCATTCATGATAAAAACTCTCAACAAAATGGGTATAGAGGGCAAGTACCTCAACATAATAAAGGCCATATATGATAAACCCACAACCAACATCATACTGAACAGCGAGAAGCTGAAAGCTTTTCCTCTGAGATTGGGAACAAGACAGGGATGCCCACTCTCCCCACTGTTATTCAGCATAGTCCTGGAGGTTCCAGCCATGGCAATTAGACAAAACAAAGAAATACAAGGTATCCAGATTAGTAAAGAAGAACTTAAAACTGTCACTATTTGCAGATGACATGATATTGTACATAAAAATCCCTAAAGATTCCACTCTAAAACTACTAGGACTAATGCAGCAAAGTTGCAGGATACAAAATTAACACACAGAAATCTGTGGCTTTCCTATACACTAACAATGAACTAATAGAAAGAGAAATCAGGAAAACAATTCCATTTACAATGGCATCAAAAATAATAAAATACCTAGGAATAAACCTAACCAAGGAAGTGAAAGATATACACCCTGAACACTACAGGAAACTCTTAAGAGAAATTAAAGAAGACACTAACAAATGGAAACTCATCCCGTGCTCTTTGCGAGGAAGAATTAATATAGCCAAAATGGCCATCCTTCCCAAAGCAATATACAGATTCAATGCAATCCCTATCAAATTACCAACAGCATTCTTCAATGAACTGGAATAAATAGTTCAAAAATTAATATGGAACCACAAAAGACATGGAATAGCCAAAGCAATCCTGAGAACAAAGAATAAAGTCGGGGGGATGTTGCACCCCAACTTCAAGCTCTACTACAAAGCCATAGTAATCAAGACAATTTGGTACTGGCACAAGAACAGAGCCACAGACCAGTGGAACAGATTAGAGACTCCAGACATTAACCCAAACATATATGGTCACTTAATATACGATAAAGGAGCCATGGACATACAATGGGGAAAATACAGTCTCTTCAACAGATGGTGCTAGCAAAACTGGACAGCTACACGTAGGAGAATGAAACTGGACCACTGTCTAACCCCATACACAAAAGTAAATTTAATTGGATCAAAGACTTGCATATAAGTCATAAAACCATAAAACTCTTAGAAAAAAACATAGGCAAAAATCTCCTGGACATAAACATGAGTGACTTATTCATGAACATATATCCCTGGGCATGGAAAACAAAAGCAAAAATGAACAAGTGGGACTATATCAAGCTAAAATCTTCTGTACAACAAAGGACACCATTAATAGAACACAAAGGTATCCTGCCGTATGGGATAATATATTCATAAATGACAAATCCGATAAAGGGTTGACATCCAAAATATATAAAGAGCTCATGGACCTTAACAAACAATCCAAAAAAGCAAATAATCTAATTAAAAAATGGGCAGAGGAGCTGAATAGACAGTTCTCCAAAGAAGAAATTCAGATGGCCAACAGACACACAAAAAGATGCTCCACATCGCTTGTCATGAGAGAAATGCAAATTCAAACCACAATGAGATATCATCTCACACCAGTAAGGATAGCCACCATCCGAAGGACAAACAACAACAAATGTTGACGAGGTTGTGGACAAAGGGGAACCCTCCTACACTGCTGGTGGGAACGTAAATTAGTTCAACCATTGTGGAAATCAATATGAGGATTTCTCAAAAAGCTCAAAAGAGAAATACCATTTGACCCAGAAATTCCACTTCTAGGAATTTAAACTAAGAATACAGCAGCCCAGTTTGAAAAAGACAGATGCGCCCCTATGTTTATTGCAGCATTAGCCAAGAAATGCAAGCAACTGAAGTGTCCATCAATAGATGAATGGATAAAGAAGATGTGGTACATATATACAACGGAATATCACTCAGCCATAAGAAGAAAACAAATCCTACCATTTGCAGCAACCTGGATGGTGGTGGAGGGTATTATGCTCAGTGAAATAAACCAGGCAGAGAAAGACAAGTACCAAATAATTTCACTCATCTGTGAAGTATTAAAACAAAGAAAAACTGAAGGAACTTAACAGCAGCAGAATCACAGAACCCAAGAATGGACTAACAGTTACCAAAGGGAAAGGGACTGGGGAGGATGGGTGGGAAGGGAGGGATAAGGGCAGGGAAGAAGAAAGGGGGCATAACGATTAGCATATACAATGTGCATGGAGGGGGGGCATGGGGAGGGCTGTGCAATACAGAGAAGACAAGTAGTGATTCTACAGTTACTATAATGGGGTTTGTGGGGGGGACTTGGTGAAGGGGGCAGCCTAGTAAACATAATGTTCTGCATGTAATTGTAGATTAATGATACCAAAACAAAACAAAACAAAAAACAAAAAGCAAATAATCCAATTAAAAAATGGGCAGAGGATCTGAACAGACACTTCTCCAAAGGAGAAATTCAGATGGCCAACAGGCACATGAAAAGATGCTCCACAACACTAACCACAATGAGATATCACCTCACACCAGTTAGGATAGCCACCATCCAAGAGATAAACAACAAATATTGGCGAGGATGTGGAGAAAGAGGAACCCTCCTACACTGTTGGTGGGAATGTAAATTAGTTCAACCATTGTGGAAAGCAGTATGGAGGTTCCTCAAAATGCTCAAAATAGACATACCATTTGACCCAGGAATTCCACTTTTGGAATTTACCCTAAGAATGCAGGAGCCCGTTTTGAAAAAGACAGATGCACCCCTATGTTTATCTCAGCACTATTAACAATAGCCAAGAAATGGAAGCAACCTAAGTGTCCATCAGTAGATGAATGGATAAAGAAGAGGTGGTACATATACACAATGGAATATTATTTGGTCATAAGAAGAAAGCAAATCCTACCATTTGCAGCAACACAGATGGAGCTAGAAGCTATTATAGTCAGTGAAATAAGCCAGATGGAGAAAGACAAGCATCAAATGTTTTCACTCATTTGTGGAGTTTAAGAACAAAGAAAAAATTGAAGGAACAAAACAGCAGCAGACTCACAGAACCCAAGAATGGACTAACAGTTACCAAAGGGAGACGGACTGGGGATGGGTGGGAAGTGAGGGATAAGGGGGAAAAGGGGCATTACGATTAGCAGACATAATGTATGGGAGGCGCACAGGGCAGGCAGTACAACACAGAGAAGACAGGTTGTGATTCTATAGCATCTTACTATGCTGATGGACAGTGACTGTAATTGGGTATATGGTGGGGACTTGATAATTCGGAGAGTATGGTAACCATAATGTTGCTCATATAATTGTTCATCAATGATATCAAAATTAAAAAAATAGTAGATCAATCATATGTGATACTCAGATCCTACATACTCATGCTCCAGAGTCCAAGACGGACTCTGCTCATGTCTTAGAGAGACTGCCTTTCTCCAAACATGTTCTTCTGATGTTCATTACACTTCCTGCGACCACTAACCTGTCTGCACTGCCCTCCACACAAGCCTGTGCCTCCACATTACACATTAGATTAACCGGGATGCCTGTCCTGCACTTGCCCCAAAGACAAGCCTTTCAAGAACAAACTCTGTCCCTAGTCTTACCTGACCTTTGCTATACAAGAATATTAAAAGACACACAGATAATTACACCACCACAGCCCCACTAAATTTCTGCAGGACTTTGAACAAGTCACTTTCCTCTGGGGCTCTATTTCTGCAAAGTCGGAAAGTTGGAACAGGTTATTTCTAAGAACTTTCCAGTCCTACCATCTAAAATGTTCTGTCATACAAGATTCTCTTACTGTTATCTTATTTGTAAACATATAGAGAATCTAAAAATCACATAGGTTACATAAAGTGCCAGGTAACATTAGTGACAGAGGAAGAAATATAGGCCAGAACTCTTGTCATTTTTACTAAGCAAAGAATGAGTTTTCAGCCCTCAGAACAAGGTTGCACAGAAAGTCTGTCATCTGCTGGCAGTTGCCCGCCCAACTTCCTGCCTGTGTACACATGGCCTTATGCCAGAGTTTCATTTTAGCAAAAGGCTATGGGAAAGGAAATTCATTTTCATCTCTCCCCATCTCTAGTCCCATCCCTTGTGTCCGGTTTAGTAAAAATAAGTTTAAGAATGAGAAATAGTTACTGAAGCAAACTAGAAATGACACAAAGGGCAAAATGACAGCTACCCTAGCATAGGCCCTACTTGGGTCTTGAATTTTAAAAAAAATACATAGAATCCATTGACATTAACAACCTTGCAAATTACTACTGAGTCCTCTAACCTTCTGTTGGGGACAAGTGGCTAAGGAAATGACAGCAAAAACAGCTTTAGGCAATACAGGATTTTATCTACTTAACCTTTTCCTTCTTTGGACTCTTCTCCCCTCACAGCTGATACTGTCACATGTCACCAGTGGACATACGTGGTGCACAGAGAAGAAAAATGCCAAGAATTCCTCCAGACTTCAGATATCTCATAAGGCATGCCAAGGCACATTTAGCCTTCAGGAGCAAGCTATTCTTTGCAGCTGCAAAAGCTCTTGAGCTGGTGATCAGAGACATTCCTCTTGGGAAAGGCTGTGTGACGCAGTGGACAGAAACTGCATGGAGAGGTAGAAGTTCCCGGCTGGTCATCCTCAGATGTTTGGTACAGCAGGTAAGCTGAGGGATAGGAACGTGATGGCAGTTCTGCCCACATGATGGGCTCATATTCGTGCTGGTCACAGTTAGCTTCTCTTTTGGAGGTCTTGGGCTGAATGAAGTAATGAAACATTTTATGTAAATCATTCATGCAAAAAAGCATATCTATGTTAGCCTAAGAACACATGTGAGAGTAATCAGACAGAAATAAATTAAAGCACCTGAATTTCTAACTAGGGTGAAGTATGTATATTTGACATTCTCTTTGTCCCAAGCAAAGGACCTAAAGTTAAAGAACCAAAGGGAAATAGACCAGAGAATACTCAGGTTTGTCAGACTTTGCTCCCTCCTCTGGCTGTGGATCATATGAGTGACTCATATCCTTCTCTGACTTTCAGGGTTCATGCGTCTTAACTTCAACAAGGATATGATGTCTGTTGCTCACAAGTCTTTTTGGTAAAGTCCAGCTTCTCCAACTAACTCAGCAAACTGAGGTTGAGATGTTGCATTTTATAAGAGCATAAACTCTTTTAAATAAAATGCATATGTGTAAGTCATATATAAGTACTCCTAAAAGGGATAGCACAGAAAGAGAGGAAGAGAAAGAGACCCCATGCACAAGGGTTTCCAGTTCCCCAGAAGTGACTTCCTTTGGTCAAGCTGCTGATATGAAGATGTTGAGCAGAGGAAACAAGCCCTAATGCTGAATTTGCTGGATTTTCAGAATTTTTTCAAATTTGCTGATATGAAAATATAGAACACAAGGCATGCACATGCACGCACATACAGACACACAAACCCTCGCTCCTGCCATCTCTTGCCAATTCCTGATTCCTGTTCCCACTGGGAAACTGCCTGACATTACAGAAGGAAGGCCTGCATCTAAGTCCAGTTCAGTCAAAAATCACAGCTTTTTCAACCAATTAACTTGATATTTCACTCCAAGTGTTCCTTCAACCAGATCCTGCTCACTGCCTCTCAATCTTCTTCCAAACAAAAGCTATATTTCATGTGCCAAAAACATTGTGACTTACAGGCATTTGTCTGTAAGAGATTTTCATTGTCTTATCAAGAAGAAATGAGAACAGGAGTCAAAAACATGAACAGCCTTATGTTCAGATCATAATTACTGTCCTTCTTTCCCAAGTTGTCTAATGATATGCTTTTGCATGATAAGAAAATTGATTACTAGCCTCTTATTGTTGGAAGACTGATAACCAAGCTGGCTCAACATTTTCAGCTACTGTCATAACCCACATGCATTTAAACACTCTAAAAGATTTCAATTCTTGGGTTCCAGAGCCTTTCTCCACTCCTGTGAGTTCAATACTTAGAACACTACAATTTGATCCAAAGGGGAGATGCTTCTGTTTCTAGGTTTATTCTGTTGAGTAATCCAAAAGCAACTTCAGATGTCCATTTCAATCACTGCCACCTTAACTCTAACCATCTAATAAATAATGTCTCATTGCCCCCAGAGTTTTTCCAAGAAATACCCTGAACTGCTTGCATGTTCATTTAATACTAACTTTTTAAAGTATACTGTTTCTTCTAAAGGTCTAAATGTTGTACTTTCCATAACTATAAAGTTAACTCAAAAGGTTTTGCTTTCTGCTTAGGGCTTATTATGCTTTTCTAACTTAGCTTTAATTCCCTGCTGTCTGGCTAAGAACATGCAAAAGCCAGCAAGAAGAGTTTAGGCCTTACATTACCCTCAGGCTCTTTCAAAATCTGCTAACAAAACAACAGATCAATCAGATTCCTGAAACTAGGAATATTTCACTTCCTAAAAAGTTTCAGTGGGTCAGCTAAAGATTTACCCACTTTACTGGATAAATATTGCAAAAATAGACCACTGGTGAAGAAATGAATGAACAGGAAAAAATCCAGTTGACTAAAGTAACTGAGTAAGGATTCAAACACCAGTGTCAGTATGACTCAAAGGAAGCTGAGGAAATTCATCAAAAAGGAAATGCTGAGTGTTGGTGGTGGTGATAGCCACGAAGAACACCTTCACATAACAGGCACAGGGGCCCCTGCAAGCACCTACAGAAAGCCTCAAGGTCTGGTTCAGGTCATTTCAGCAGCCTAGGAATCAACACAGGATAGACTCATCAACCCTTTAGCAGCTTGGAAGAAAATACGCAGCAAGCAATGAGCTGGTGCTTCCAACCTGGGTCTGTTCTCTTCCCTGCAGTCACTAGAAAAGTATCTGCCTGAGCAGAACTGATTTACCTTCTGCTGGAAGAGCTTGGAACCCTCAGCTCCAGGTCTGGAGAACAGTTTAGTCTGGCATGTTAACATCTGAAAAGTTAAAGCAAGTGGTATGAACATACGACCCACAAACAGGGAAACATTCCTGGGATATGTCAAGAACAAGAAAATATGATGAAAGGGAATAGAGGATTGTAGAAGACATCCAAATTACAAGGAAATTAAGCACAAACAGTTCTCAAGGTGAAAACAATGGAAAATAAAACTGAGCTTGACCAGAAAAAAACTTTTCAAGCCAGCCACAGGCATGCAGGAAGCCAAGAGCTGACTTGCATTCACAATGTTAGGAGAGCGAGCTACAAGCATTTTAAGATATTACCTCCCATCTTTGAGAATCCATGGTGCTCTAGGTGAAAATAATCAGATACCTAAGTTATAAAAGAAGAAAGGATGAGTCTTCAAATTACAAAGGCCCCCAAGAACAACTACCTAAATAATAATAATAAAACAACAATAATAATGAACCATGTTGTAAACTCCTTGAAGAAAACAAAGCACAAAGAATTTGTAAAATATTCAAGTACAATATTTTAAAATATATAAATTTTCACCATCTAACATCCTATGTCATTTAAAAATCATAGTAAATTTAATCTTGCTCAAAACAAAGTCTTTTTTTAATCTGTGAGATGAGATTCCTACCTTGAATTTCTCAAATACATTCCACAGAAAACAGAAGTCAGAGTCCTCGTTTCCTTCGGTGAGTGGCATCTGCACCCACCCAGACAGGCGGCAGTTTCAAATCCCTTCTTTCATTTCCAACCCTTTTTCTTCTTTTCGGAGTTATGGTTCTGCAGACTTTTCTCATTGCCTGTGATGATGACATTCCAAAGGAAATGGAAGGAAACAGTTGCATTTCAAACTCTGTCCAGCAGCATGAGTTTAAGTTCTGCTCTGTGCCCAGTGATAGGCTGGGCATCAGCAGTGGCTCATTCAAAAATGAAAGAACTTGAACCCCACGGCCCCCAAGGCCCAGTGATTGTCACAGTCTGCCTGGGAACTCTGCAGGAGAGCTGATTTGGGGCTATTAGAAACAGAATTAGTGGGGGTTTTTAAGCCCTTTATTTTAACTTATTTTGCTAAAGCTAGAAGTGCAAAGTGTTCTAAATTCGTAGGGCACCTTCACCATCTAGCTCAAACCTTTATTTTATAAACAAGACTCAGGCTCCCCTAGAGCCTGGCTCTTCCTCCTATAGTCCTTTCTTTGGAACTGCTGACAGACTGTCCAACCTGAATCAGCAGCCTGCTTGCTCTCCCTGGGCTGCCCATATGTAGAGACACATCCTCCCCAATCCCTTTCTGTGACACCAGGCAATCTGTGGGGCACAGAGACAACCATCCTGGCCTGGAAAAACATCCATTTCCTTGGGCTTTGCCCCAGGGACCCAGGCTCTGCCCAGCTGGACTTCTTTGCCAGGTTGTCAATGCCAACCACCTCTCCCCCCATATGAGAAATTGGCCAAAGATGTCAGAACACTTACTGCTGTGTGAATTCAGACCCTTAGCAGTCTCATTTGCAAAATGTGCATAAAACCAAATATTGTCCGGTATGTTTTACAGGATCATTGTGAGCAAAAGTGAGCATTTTGTAAATAATAGCAATATTAAAATTAATGTATTATCTTTATTATTACAAATCTAAGTGAGAAAAACAGGCATCATAAATATGAGGATTGAGGAGACACATTTCAGAGAGTTCCCAAATGCTGAGGTTGCCTTCCAAACCATGCCGCCTTTAAGCAAGGATGTGTAAGCTCCGTGTGGCTCAGATGCTACCATCTCACTGCATTGGCTTCCTGGGTAAATGTCTGTCTGCCTCATGAATTCCAGAGAAAAGCAAGGTGTGTGCTTTAAAATAAAGAAAGGAAGAAAGTCAGAATCTCCTCGAACTGCTGTTTTAGCAACACAAAGTATTCCTCCTCCTCCAGATGATTTCTGCTCCTGGTCCCATAAAGTCATTCTTTCTGACAAACCAACCAGGTGAAAGACAAAGTCAGAGAAGGAAGAAACGCAAAGGGAAGAGGTGGAGACTAAAGAACACAATCACAGCAAACAGAGCAGCTCAGAGACAGACATGTTTTGCTCATGCTCTGCACTGTCCCAGTTGGGTGTCACCTCCATATCACCCCATGGCTTAGGGCCATGGGACACACAGCCCTGCCAAGCTCCTCCCAGATCCACAGTCTTCTTTGTGATTCAGGCCTTGCTGTTCCACTGCGTCTCCTCACTCTCACAAGAAATGTGTCTTTGGGGAATGTGGGACTATTGATCTTTTCCAGTCAATTGTGAACTGCTGCATTTCATTATTTCAACTCTCTTTTGCTGGGGCCTTGATGTCAGCTTGCACTGCTCACTAGGGAACAATGAATGAGTGATAAGGATGCCTGAGTGCCCCATAGCCCATACCTTCCCTAGGGAGCCCTGGGCAGTTAAGCCAGGGAAGCAGGAAGCAGCCCTGGCTTGCCACCAATGTCCGCACAGCTCAGTGTGTAGACCCAGTCCCAGATGTACCAGGAACTCTGTAACCTCAGGGGGAACAATTGAGTTTAGGGATGATGCATCTTCCTCAAGGAGACCCCAGAAAGCACTGTACCCTAGTCAAGAGGCCTCTCATACCCAGTTACCCTCACAGCATCCTAACAGCAGACCACCACAAACTTTGAAGTCTTTCAAGAGCCCCATTCAGCTGATTAGAGTGCAGGATCACTAGGCAAAAGTCACATTTACACCTGATCAAAAGGCAAGCCAGAACAATGGACAGAAGAACAGACCAGAAACAATAAGATCGAAGTTTGGGGCCCACCCTGTCACCTTACCCTCCTATGCAGTTCCAGTTCTAGATTAAGAGGAACAACTTCTATGGATCTCTGCACAGAAACTATCTTTTATTGGCTCAGACGCAAAGGCAGCTATGCATGAATATAAGAAGGCCCCTTACCAGCTGCATCACCAAGGAAACTTCCTGAGTTTTTGTTTCCTCACCTACAAAATGAGAATAACAAGGACAGCCTGCCTACCACACTGGCCTGCCCTAACAGGCACAGTTAGCATGTGAGAAAGCTGCCACTCTGCCGCCTGCACATCTCTGCACAGGCACACAACCCAGCTGCAGGGATATTTCTCATGAAGCCAACTTAAAACACAGAGGCGTTGCTAAATTCTGTGTGGGTTCTAAGTTAAGCACGCCCTCACTTTGCCCCTCAAAAAGCCATCAGTTTATTGGCTAAGATGAAAACTGAGAGAAGCATAGTAAACCTCTGTGTCATTAAAGCAAAAGGAGAGATAAGTAGGACATGTCTGGGTGGTGGGACCAAATGAGGTTTGTTTGAAGACTCTCTCTCTCTCTCTCTCTATATATATATATATATGCATATAAATAAATTCACATAGATATTTCATTATATATCATACATATAAAATGTATGCACAAATGTATAACATAATGTGTATGTGTAGAATTACATATAATATATGCAATATACATGTTATATATACCAATACGTATGTATGCATATATATATGAGCATGTGTGTGTGTAGAATGACTTCCATAGGGACACAAGGGAAGCAGGGGTAGGTAACTACCTTTGAGGCCAGGTAACTACCTTTGAGGCCAAGGCATTAGCATAAAGACATGTAGAAAGGGGCAGGGGGAGGGCACAGGCATATTCAGTGGTCAGTTGCCCATGGCTGAAATTTGGCAAAGACCCAGATTTCTTCTATTCCCACAAGAGCATGAGCCAAGGGGTAAGATTTCTGCCAGAAAATGCTAGTGCTGGAAAGGGAATGGCAGAAAATTCTGAGCAACTTCCCAGAACTTATCTGGGGCTTGGTTTTATAGGCTGGATAGGATCTGATTCGTGGGTGAGAGGAAACAGTTATTCACCATATAGTCTAAGACACACTGGACAGGCAGTTTGAAGGCCTTTGGGAGACTGAAATGCTCACAAGAAAAATGACAAGCAGTAAGAATAGTAAAGTGCTTCCTCCCACCCAGCACTTTCTCAAGAGCTTTAATTTTACATGTATTAGCTCTCTTAATCTGCATAACAGCCCCAGAAGGCAGACGATGGTATGGTCCTGTCCCTCAGAGAATAAGTGGTCCCCAGCTAATAAGTGGTGGAGGGAGGATTCAACCCCAGATAATCAGATGGCAGAGCCTGTATTCTCAACCACTACAGGTGGTGAGTTTTACTAAGTATTTTCTGCAGCACAATAGCTAAGCAGAACATTAACCCCTACTGCTGTATACCCACTTGCAGGCCTTCCTCCCCTCTGCAAATTCATTCGGGTACCCCTCACTTTTTTGTCTAACTTGTCAAAAATGGTGTGAGTTCTGACTTTTGTCAAAATAAGGTTATGAACTCCTGAAGGGCAAAAGGTATAAGTATTTGTGGATATTCCACAATACAGAACATAGGGACAATTCATTCCATAGTAAGTAGAAAGGAAACCAGGCTGAGAAGTAATGAAAAGGAGTTCAGGTATCAGTTTTGCCTCTTATTAACTGGGACTCTGGGCAAATTATTAACCTTCTTAAACTTTCTTTCATTCATCTATAGAATGGATATAATAATAGAAGGTACTCATAGAGTAAATCCTAGCACAGTGCCTGGCACACAGGAAGCACACATTAAATGTTCACTACCATTAATAATAATTCATTCTCCCCAATGAAAACCCCATCACTGAATCTCCCCATCTTAGGGCTTACCCCCTCGCTTGGGAAGAGGCCTAGCCCACCTCTCTGCAGGTGACTGTCCTCAGCAAAGTTTGGTATCAGAACCTCTAGTCAGTTAAGCTCCAGTAGATCTCTAAGGAAGAGAAAATGCCCCTGGCCATGTTTGGAAATGGAGAGGGTGTGTATTAGGATGGAGAGGAGTCCTGGCATTTGATGAGTTGGGTGGCCAGGTTGTAAAAGATCTTGTAATGCTATGGACTGTCCAACACAATGAAGAATTTTTGCACTCAAAATATCAGTAGTGCTTCCACTGAAAAAATACAGGACTGCTTGGAAGATATATACATCTGAAGGACGACAGACAAAATTAATCCCATCAACAGGTCAAAGAGGTGAGGCATCCAAAATCAGAAGTCACCAGTACCTCCTTCGGGTTTCAGGTGGTTCGGCTTGGAGGGTAATCTGACTGGCCAAGGCCAGGGTGTTGTGCAAGCCCTCACTGAGCCCTTGCAGCTCACCCAGGGACAACCTCTGCACCAGGAAGGTCAGGTCACAGCCCTGCCACAGGAGCTGCGGCTCTTGCTCATCTATCTCCCTTCTCAGCTGTTGATCTTCTGCTTCCAGAACAGACATCCTTGCTTGGAGGGCTTCAATTTCTTTCTGTGGCAAATGGAGAGACCAGATTTTATAAATTAACCCTACTCGCAGTAAACTGCTCTGCTGATAATGAGTCCCTTAAATGAGAGTCAGACATATGCACAAGAGCTGTGAAGTCTCCTTCTGAGGTAGGCAGATTTGGGGAGGTTTGCTGAACTGGAAAAATCTTGCCAGTTTTATTTATAGTTTTGATTAGTTGGCAGAAAGAAAAACATTCCCTCCCAAGCATTAAATAACAGCAGGGGGTGAGCCAAGAATTTGACTTAGATGAGCCCAGCAAATATTATAAATGACTTACTTCATTTCAAGTGGAGGAGCAAGAACAGAGGGCACCAAACATCATGTACTTGAGATACAAGCTAAGCAGGTATCATGAGTTACAGACCAAAAAAGAAAAGCAAACAATCCTTGGTTGGTCTGGTCCTGAACATGAAAATTTAATGTGTAGAGAAACATTAAAAACCAGTCTACAAGACTGAAAGACCAAAGAGATGCTGCAGAAAGTGTTATGAATCTAAAGTTCACAAAAATGTTAAATAAATTTGATTTCCACTGATGCAGCAAACGAAAATCCAAAGATTCCATAGAGTATCATCCAATCTCAAGGTCAATGAACAAAACAAGCAGCAAGTAATTGAACACCCATGTGTACACAGCGTTACAGCAAATAATTATCTCATTACCCATGGCATTGTGAATTTGCAATATGGCTCTTTTAATTAACACACTCACATGTTCTGTGCTTTGGTTTCGGGCTGATAGGAGCACAGCTCTAATCTCAGGTGTCTTCCCATCTCTGACCTATGTTCTCTCAGCCCCAAGGTACAGACCACCTACAACTTCTACCTCCTGACCCCACTTCCAGTAGGGGAGGAAGGAGACTGAGGAGGCCCTGAAGATCCACCATGAAGACACTATGCAAAGAAAATAACGTGTGTCTCCCATTGGACCAAGAGTACAGTATTACTGACATTGTCTCCCAACTAACCTCCCTACTTCCACCTCTGACTGCCCACACCCTACTCTTTTCTTTTTTCTCTTTTGTTTTTTCAACTATGGTAAAATACATAAAACAAAATTTACCATTTAAATCATCATTAAATGTACAGTTCAGTGACATTAAGTACATTCACATTGTACCACCATAACCACTGTCCATCTCCAGAATTCTTTCATCTCGCAAATCCTATACTCTGTCCCATTAAACTCCAAATCCTAATCCACACGTCCAGCCCCTGGTAACCACCTTTCTACTCTACAGTCTGTCCCTGTGAACTGATGACTCTAGGTATCTCACATAAGTGGAAACATACAGTATTTGTCTTTTTGTGCTTACTTATTCCACTTAGCATGAGGTCCTCCAGGTTCATCCATGTTGTAGTATGTGTCAGAATTTCTTTTCTTTTCAAGGCTGAATAATATTCCATTGTAAGGACTGACTGTATTTTGTCTATCCATTCATTCACTGATGGACACTTGAATTACTTCTACCTTTAGCTATTTGAATAATGCTTCTGTGAACATCTCTTTGAGACCCTGTTTTCAATTCTTCTGAGCATATACCCAGAAGTAGAATTACTGGATCATGTGATGATTCTGTGCTTAACTTTCTGAAGAACCTCCACACCTCCATGTTTTACATAGTGCCCCTACACCCTACTGGTAAAACAGAAGTCAAAGTAATTCTTTAAAATGTGTTTAGATTACATCACTTCACTGCTTATAACCCTCCAGTGATTCCCCATTTCATCAGAGAAAAGCCAAAGTCTTTACCAAGGCCCTATAAGGGCCCTTTCAATGTTAACCTTCTCCTCTGCTGTTCTTCCTACCCTTTGAACACCTGAGGCACATCCTACTTCAGGCCTTCCCATGGCTGCTCCCTCCACTAGGAACACTCTTTCTATTCACTCTCCTCCTCCAAGTGCTTGCTTCCATTTCACTTCTTAATGGGTAGACCCCAACACCTTGGTCTATGCTTTGTAGCCCTTACAACCTACAGAGAAAATGAAAGTTCCTATGGCCAGGATTCTCACAAGTCAGCTTGCTCACTGTACATGTGTGGACAATACGTTATTATTGAATCTATATAAAGAGCTCTGCCCAGTGCTCTGGGAACACAGCTGCAAGAGAGTAGAAACTGGAGGGGTGGCAGCACCAAGAACAGAGACTGAGACAACTGTGCAGGCAGAGAGGCCCCAAGGCAGAGACCAGCCTGCTGCATGTAGACTCGCTCTGAGTGGATGGGATTCTAGCACTTGACTTGCCACCATGGGACTAAAGCTGGATCTAAACCCTTTCCCCACAGGACCATTCCATTGTCACTTTTCAGTCTCACTGAATCAAGAGTGAACTTGCCCAGGGCTGAAACCCCCTGGCAAGACACCACCCTACAACATACTACGTATATAATTTAGTATGTTTGTCATTTCTTGTCTATCTCCCCAGCCTCACCCCACCTAGAACAACAACTCCACAGAAATCCTAAGCATCTCAAAGAGAATCTGGAACATGGTAGGCACTCAATAAACACCTGCTGAATAAAATGGATATCCACCCTCCCCGAGAGTTCTGCCAAGAACACTCCCGTCAAATACTAAATATCCTGGGCTAAAATTATCTTCTGTATACTGACATCATCAGGAATTGTCAGTAGACCTTTAATTGTTGAATATTGCCCAAAACCAGATTTCACATTCTCAGCTACCCAAACTTTACAAAGATGCTCACTGAATATATATGTTCAGTTTATTGGAGAATAATTTCAAATTGCAATGGTGTTTCTTTCCCTTTGCCACCTTTCTGTTATGGGGACTTGGATGGGCACTCAGATAACAGGAACTCTGCATGAGGAGGCAGCAGAGAGGGACTCCAGGAGCTTGTCCAAGTCCCCACAACCTTGTCAAAGTTCATTCAGTTGTTTGGAGCCTAAGCCAGAATTTGGACTTAAGTCTTGAAGACATATACCCTTTCCAGAAGTCATGGTGCCTCCAATCAGCGCTTCCTCTATATTCCCATTCCTGCAAGGCTTCCAGGTTCAAGCAAGCATGGTCCCAGCTACAGTTTCCTGCCTCTGGGGACCCTGTTGACTGCCTCCTGGCTTCACCTGCATGCTGCATCTAGATTTCTAGCCCCTGGATGATTCTTACCCAGCTTTCATCTACTGCTCTGGGCCAACATAGAGCTTCCATGTGCAGCCTGTTATTGTTAGGCTGGAGAAAGGTAAAACAAGGATATGCAAACAGAACAGAGAGATGCTATAGGGGGAGAACAGAACAGACCCCAAAGTCCATGCCGTATATGGAAAGGGGACAGCTCTCCCTGAATTCCATCCTGATGTGTCAACTAAGACCTGGATGTCAGCCTCCTCCCTCTTGGAAGGAAAAAAAGTTTCTAGTTGTCTATTATGTCACCTTTAGCCAATCATACCTCTACACACCCCCTAAGATAGCTTGCCCACTCCTTCCCCTCCTAATCTCTTATAAGCCCCCCAACCTCCCCAACTGGGTGGAACTTCTCTGGCCTGTGACAAGAAGGCCACAGAAGCTCACCTGGGGGTATTTAAATAAATTACCTGGCCCTTTGTTGCCTCTCTTTGCCTGCTTATTTCAGCTAAAATTTATCTTACAGTTATCCCAGGTGTGTTTGCCTTGCCTAGTCCATACTTAGACCTCTGCCTCCTAACAACTGCTACTCATGGTCCATCTTGATAGGAATTTCCATAAAGGATTTTCACAGCACAGCTTTCTGCCCTCCCAAATAACCTTCTAAAGGTCAAAATGATAAAAGGTGACAAATTGGTCTGGCAGACAAGAAAAGAATATTCAAAAGGTAATGAGGATGGGGTGGAGCCAAGATGGCGGCATGAATAGAGCAGTGGAAATCTCCCAAAAACATATATTTTTGAAAATACAACAAATTCAACTATTCCAAAGAGACCAGAAGATACAGGACAATAGCAAGACTACATCTACACCTGCGGGAACCCTGTGCCTCATGAAGGGGGTAAGATACAAGCCGCAGCCTGGCGGAATCCGAGCTCCCCTCACTCCAGCTCCCGGTGGGAGGAGAGCAGTTGGAGCAGGGAGGGAGAGGGAGCCCAGGACTGCTAAATAGCCAGCCCTAGCCATCTGCACTGGAGCACAGACACATAGTATCTGCAGGGTGCTGGATACTAGGGAAATGGGACAGTAAAATCTGTGAGAGGATCCCCACAGCTAGCACCCCTGGGACAAAGAAAAGAGAGTGCTTTTTGAAAGTCTGAAAGGGACAGGGACCCCACCGCTGAATGGAGGCATCCTGGCACAATCAGCTCAGCAGCTGGGAACCCAGGGAACTCCGGGCACCCTAACCCCTGGGCAGCAGTGCAGCTCCAAGGCTCCTCATGGTGAAAAACAGCCTCCCACCCATTCCCACTCTGGGGCAGCCCCACCATAGTGGAGCACAGGCCTGAGAGTGGCCACAACCACAGCAACTGTGCACAGAGCTTCCTTCAGAGTGGCCCGGGGAAGAAGCAGAAACCTCATCTGCACGCAGCTGCCCAGCACAAGCTGCTAGGGGTCACCATTCTCCCAGGAGAGAAAGGCCACAAACTAGCAAGAAGGGATGTTCTCCCAGCTGACACATGCCAACTACCCACGACTATCTCTATCACCATGAAAAGACAGAAGAATTTGATACAGACCAGATTAACCCAGATAGTCTCCCCTGAAAAGGAATCTGGGGAACAGATCTAATCAATCTTCTTGAAAAAGAATTTAAAATTAAGGTCATAACCATGATGATGGACTTGCAGAGAAATATGCAAGAGCTAAGGAGGGAGAATACAGAAATAAAGCAATCTCTGGAAGGATTTAAAAGCAGAATGGATGACATACAAGAGGCCATTGATGGATTAGAAACAAGAGAACAGGAACACATAGAAGCTGGCTCAGAGAGAGATAAAAGGATCTCCAGAAATGAAACAATATTGACACAGGCGATGCTGCTCATGCTGTTTGACAAGG